CCCCCCCCCCCCCCCCCCCCCCCAGCTGTGGTCTTCTTTTAAGCAGAAATAGATTGCGTCACAACTTTTACAAATAAACTAGCTGAGAAGGTTGCTTAATTGTTTATATGTTCTTCCTCTATTTCTGCTAAGATGTATAAGATCAGCTGTCAGGGTGTTTTCAGATTGTTAAAGAGTTGGAGACGAGGGTGGGGTTGAGATTGTGTGATGAGATCATCGTTTTGGGGCTACGATCGACATGTTCCAGCACATGCAGGGTGTGACGCTGATCCTTGGCTCGTCCCGTCTCCAATAAGCTCCAGATGATCCTGGAGACAAATGAGTTCATACTTATTTGTTTGAGGAGACATTATGTTTTGTTTGTTTTTTTGACAGAATTACGTTTGAGCCTAATGTGCTTTTTTCTTCTTCTTTGGTGTAAATTTTGAAATAGAAAGACCCCAAGTACAGCCTCTGTGGCCCACATATAAGGAGTTACCATAACAGCTGGCTCCCCGGCTCTACTAGTCCATGTTGATGGGTCCTTGGGCAAGACATTGTGGTGTATGAATGGGTATGAATGGTTAGTTAGAGTCCTGATGGGCAGGTGACACCTTGCATGGTAGCCCCTGCCATCAGTGGATGAATGGGTGTGAATGGGGGAATGATGATGTGTGTTAAATCGCTTTGAGTGGTCGGACGTGTATAAAAACGCCATACAAGTACAGTCCATTTACCATTTACCCTGTAAATGTGTCTTCTTGTGTGTGTGTCTGCCGAGCAGGTTCCTCCAGGATTATCCGTGTGTGTGTGTGTGTGTGTGTGTGTGCTCTTGCATGCTAATGGAAGGAGACCCCCAGCTTCTTGCCCACCGAAACCACCTGACACACACTCACACACACACCCTGCTGATTGTCTTCATATTTAGTGTAGATTTAAAAAAAACAGACATAAAATAACACCTAAACCTGGAGTACTTTAATGCATTATTGTTATTGTTGTTTATTAAATTAGAAGTTGCTGGTACCCAATATAAAACCTTCTGTGTTGCCGTGGCCTCTTTTAACCGCTCACCTCATAGATACTAAAGTACCACTCTATATGTCTCTGCATGATGTCATTCATTGATTTTGCTGCTCAGCCGTGGCCACTAATCTTTCAGAGTGATGCCTTTGTCGATCCAGTCATTAATGTTCGAGTCTGTGAGGCTGTGATGTGTGGTTTCTGATTGCAGCTTGATTTTCAGTTGAGGTAAAAAAAAGCAGAGACTGTAAACGCTTGATGGGTTGGCTCATGCTTGAATGCACATAAGTACGGTACAATATACTTTTACTGGTTTGTACAGAGTCTGGCATTTAAAAGAGCAGATCTGATTAACTGTGTGGCTTTGTGTTCTCTCTGCAGGGCCGGCATTGATGATGTGGAGACAGACGTGGTGGAGATTGAGGCAAAGCTCGATAAGGTATGAACCATGCAAACACGTTACTTCTCTGGACTGTGCTGCTCATTAAAATGTCAAATCTGACCGATATACTGAGTGTGTAATGCGTGACATTTAACTGGTGTTAAATTGGGTTTCTTCCACCATGTTTCTAATGAAAATCACAAACAATGACCTTATATTGCACATTGTTAGAACACTAAAAGAGCAACGTTTTGGATTTGATTCACATTGTTTGAATGAAAAACGCCACCAGGTGACGTTGCCTATTAACAGTTTTTTTGTTTTAGCTAGTGTGAAACTGATTATAGAGCCTTTTGTCTGTCTGCCTGTCTGCGTGTACCTCTGTCTCGCTGTTGCTCTCTCTGTAATTGTGTTTCTCTTTTCATTTTTTTATATCTGTCTGTCTTTCTCTCGCTCTCTGTTATCTAAATGCCAATGCTATTTAATCCAGGAAGCACTGCAGACTTGAGTTATTATATTTAATAGGTTCATGCGCTGCTAGATAACACACACACACACAGACGCTCGCGCGTTGGTGCTTGTGCACGGTAAACACACTGAGGAAACACTGATTAATGTCACAGAGGCAGGTTTATATTCTGTAGTATGAGAACAGCCCTTATCTGAGCATGTGATGTCTTTGTTTCTCCTGCTTATACAATAGCAATACAACAACAGCTAATTATTATTTGTTAGTATTTGTAAGATATGAAATAAAGCTAGCTCATTTAAGACCCACCACCGTGGAGACACCATATTTTTAAGGTTTCAGTTACTGTGGAATTCATTGTACTTGGATTATTTTCACATTATTTAGTGATACATATAGTACACGTTGTACACTAGCAGTCTGCCACAGTTCTACATAGTACTAGCAGAACATGATATGGATTAGCTGCACTCACCTAAACAAAATCATGATGAAAAATAATAGTTTAATTTGTTAATGGTAAACTAGATAATGGAAATTAGTTTCTTAGATAATCATTGCCAGATAGTATTACTTCAAAGGCTTCCAGGATGTAAGACCAGCAAGAACTGTCTCCTAAGAAGCAGATAAACTGTCTTTAGATAACCTAATAGACGTGTTACTCAGAGAGCATTTAGAGGACGAGATCGCGTTAATGTAGTTATGTGTTGGCCGCACCTTCTTTCCTCTTCTATCTCCCTTTCTCTCCGTTTGTTTTGTAGGTTTTTTTCTCGTCTTGCTCTACTCGTGTCCGAAACAATCTGCATCTTCTCATCAATAATATGTTTAAATCAAGGTCACTTACAAGCATACAGTCCATCTTCATCTGCAGCCGGTAGATAATAAACACAGATTCATGTCCTTTGTTAGGTGATAAACTGGTTATTTAGATGATTGTGACATTTTCTTGTCACTGCAGTCTATCTCAGGTTCATGAATAGGTCCACCTTGTTCAAACCCCATCTCTTAAATTAGTGAACCAACAGGCGACACTTTGGCATTTCAAACAAATGTCCATTCCCCCACCCAGTCACACACACACACATACACACACACACAGATTATTCCTGCCCCCAATAGGTCAGGAGCCTCCGTTGAACTTTGAGCTCCATTTGAACACCATTGAAAGATGACCAGGGTGGGAGGGGGGTTTCCTTCAGGGTGATTTGTTCTGTTCAGCAGGGGTCCTCACACTGCTCGGTTAGGGTCCTCTGAAGCTGCCTGAGGACATTCTGGCAGCAATGAAGGCACTTAGAGGAGGACATTTATGACATTGATGACAGCTGAACCTGCCTGCGGTGATGTTGACTGTTGTGACCGGTGTGAAAACTGGTGTGAAAACACAACAATGCTGATCATTGTAATGCTTTCAACCCCTGCTTGCTAGATTTTGCAGTTTACTAGTGTACTGGATTAAAGTATTTCTACCACAAACCATAATTTGCAAAACCGTCACTGCGATAGACAATTCATAATTTTCCCCAAAACGTAAAATGCCTATTGCACACCTCATTGACCTGCGGGACCTCTGAATTTCACAGTAACTGTTTTGGTCAATTTATTTACAGGGCAAGGTCGGTCATGTGGTACCAGATGTGGCATTTTGACTTCGAGTGGACCCCTGTGGCTCTTCCAACCCATTTATCAACAAATCCTGACACATATACTGTGCCTTTAATGGCCGAGCTCAGACCCTTGGGGCTCTGTATAGCACATGATGAGATCAGATTCCCACATATTGGCAAATTTGATGGCAGATTTGTTGTCAGACGAGCCTGGGAGCAGCAGCAGCAGGCCAGGAATCATGCTGCCTTGTCCTTTAAATTCATAATAGCGTCAATCATGTACACGTGAACGTAAACATGTATACTGTGTGATGCACATCACATAATCTACACAGTGTGCACACTGTACATTTTGCAAATCACACATGCACACATTTGGAGCCAGCTGCTCGTTTCAGCAATGCTCACATATGTATTACAACTGTTATTTTTTAGTCACGTTGTCGTAGATCGTGCTGTTATCGGTCCTCCCTCTCTGGTTTCTCATCTCTGGCCCGTCGGCTACCCAGAAAACCGCACTCACTTAGCACCAACCTTGGGAACTCCTGCACCAAATTTGATAATTAAAGGTTTTTTGCTCTCTCTCTTCTGCATAACCCCTCACCAACACACACACGTGTTGATCCTGTACTCCACATCAGCTGCATCAGTGTGGTGGTAATGACAGTGTACCACTCTGTAGCTTATCATATAACCCGTAAAGAGGGAAAGTGCAGCGGTTGCCAGTTCATGTGGTGTTTAAAAGACTACATGCCATTGCTATGAACTGTCTGCACCTGGTAATATATTATTGTATATTAATGTTTACAATTACATTTTTGCACATTGTAATTGTAATTGACACATGGCTGGGTCTGAACTCACAGTATGTGCACTGTCTTACTTTATGATGTTTTATTTTACTGCCTAAGTATGAAATGGCCTCCCTTCATAGTGATTTTTTGTCATGCAACATGGATACCAATGTCGGGGGGGTCTCTTTCCTCCACCACGTCGGTCCAGACTAAAATACAGTAGCTCAACTATTAGATGGTTTCCTTTCAAAATCTGTACAGACACACATGGTCCACAGTGGATGCCACAAACGTTGATGCCTTCACTTTTACTCTAGCGCCAGCATGAGGTTGACATTTTTTGGTTTTGCATGAAATGTGGTATATATGTTCATTGTGGCCAGTAGATGCTCTGAATTTTCTTTTTGTGCCATCAGAAGTCAAAGTTTTATCCTTACCCTGTGAAATCTTTTAACATTTACCTCATGGATCGGCATGTCATTTTGTTCATGGCTTCTACGTGATGTATCCGACATATTTTGGTGATCTTATGACTTTTCCTCTAGCGCCACCATGAGGCTGATATGTCTCAACAACTATTGGATGGTGAAATTTGTGTTCAAACATTTATGTTCCCCTCAGGATGAATTGTAAATATTTGGATGATCCCTTCATTTTTCATTTAGCGCTATCATCAGGTTATTTGCTGTCAGATTTGCAGGTGCAGATTTACAGATGATATTGATCAAAAAATTGACTTTTGCTTTTCTATCAGAATGCTTAATAAATACTACATTTTCATTTGGATAGCAGACACACTAGCTTCAACAACGCCTGCATTGGCCTTGATTCAACCAAGAGGATTATTCTAAATTTGAGCATCCTCGTGGATACTGAATGTGACCAAAAATGATTTTGATACACGCTATCACTGTAACTATTAATATCCCTGCATGGCACTGTGTAAAACATGTGACTCTTTAAATAGACAATGTGTTTGTTGTGTATTTGAAGTGATTATTTTTGTGTTTCTCCGTTCCCACTAGCTGGTGAAGCTATGCAGTGGGATGATCGATGCCGGCAGGGCCTACGTCAGCGCCAACAAGCTCTTTGTTAACGGAATCAAGGATCTGTCCCATCAGTGCAAGAAAGAGGAGATGATATCGGTGAGCGGAGGTTGCACTTTCTTTAAAACTGAATTCAAATCTGTACATTCACTGAGGAGTATTTTAGGGTCAGCATCTTAGCAAATGATTGCTGGGACATTCCTGTGATTCTCCACATGAATATTAACAGTAGAGCAGCATAAACAGTATCGTCCAGACAGAGTTATCCAGCTGTTTTAAACATGACAGATGTGACCACATGCAGGCAGGAGATGTGTATGCTGATAGTTTACATGGCTGGAAGCAGAGACATCTGAAACCTGCTTTATGGTTTTCTTCTAGGAAAACATTTGGACTAGATTTCCGGTCAGTACGGGTGTCGCCTTGGTAGCTTTAGGTGAAGCAGAAGAGACATAATTGTTTCTCAGTCGATAACCATTTAAGGTTAAGCTTAGGTGTACATCACATCTTGTAGACAGTTTAGAAGACTGTTTTTTAGGGATTTTACATTATGTATTATGTGAAAAAGAAGTGTATGTTTATATAGAAAGCTGTGTAATTACATTATATGTGTGTGTGTGTCTTCAACATTGAAGGAATGTCTTGAAAAGTGTGGAGAAAGCCTCCAGGAGATCGTCAACTACCACATGGTAATACACGCGCACACACACACACACACACACACACACACGCGCACACACACTAGTTTTAGCCAATGGCGAGAGGTCGAGGTAGAGTGTTGTTCTGACACGCCCAGGTCCTCTTGGCATGTTAACGTCTTTCAGACATCCAGTCCCTCCTGGGTCCAGTGTTGCAACACACACCCCCACACACATGCGCACACACACACCACACAATTTAACTGTGACCTCTCTCTGTGACGGTGAATCTGTACACACAGGCCAGTCCATATGCGTGTGTCTGATTCAAAACACATGTGTTGGCAGATGTGTACGGCAGCTATAGTGCACAAATATTCACTCACATACAAAGCACACACACACACACACATACAGGTTCATATGACTCTCTCCTCATGACTAAGTGTGATTAAGAAATGTCTTTTTCTGGGAATCTGCGACAGGTCTGGGAAGCCTAAAGTCAGTTTTAAAATTAAAGAGATACTATGACATTAAATAGTTGGAATTCATACACAATGACTTCACAGCTCATGCACGAGTGACTCTGTCTTTCATTTTACGACACTAATAATGAGGCAATATGTGAGAGTGTGTGGAGTTTTGAGGTATTTGCCTCTCCATGCCTGTGCATGTGTGTTTGTGCGTCAGCAAAAGAAAAGGTGAAAGTAGTATAGGAACAGTGGAAGAGGGAACATGAGGGAGAGAAGCAGGGCTGTGGGATGAATGAAGGGCAGAAAGGAATGAAGAGAAAAGATTAGAAAGAGAGGCACTTGCAACAATCAACAGGCTCTACAAATCCAAGTTTTCCCTGTTGGACACATCTTTCATGATTTAAATTTTTAGGGGCATGGCATCATTTCGGTTTCATAACAAAATGCCGTTCTGCTGAAGTTTTGAATTAAAAGCTTGTAAGCTATATACATATATAGGACTTCAATACTCAGACATATACTGTATATGTTTTCTAACAGAGACCCTAATAATTAAGCTGGCACCAGATACACTTGTTGTTATCCTTTTCTTTGGTTTGTTTGTTTTCTTATCACTCATTTTTCAAGCCTGTTTAACCCCCACCATCATTAGATATTCCAGGAAAATGCATCATTTGGCCATGCTTAGAGGCTACTGGCTGTGTTGTTGTTTTTTGTCACCTCCTGTTTCTCTTCCACTGCCCCTCAACCACTGCTCCATCCATCCTCCTCTTATACCATCATCTCCACCCTACACTCACTTACCCTTCACCACAGGCCTCCCACTCATCCTCTCTAACATCCAGGAATTACACTAATAGCTTGTATGGCAGACAGTATGCATGAGGTGGTGAAGGAAGGGAAGAGAAAGACATAGTGAAAGGGAATCTGTCTTTGTTCGACCACCCACTGATACTTAGTTCTTCACTTTCTCTGCTCTCGTCAGACACAAAAGAAGCCAAATCGAACAGGAAAGTTAATCTCCCTTTAAAGCACAAAATAAGCAAGTGTTTACTTTCAAACATACATAATTCCTACCCTAATAGAAACAACGGTTCTCTGCTGATACAACCACACCGTTGCATGGGCTGTGAACTGTTCATTTGAACTATATTTTTCCTTCTTGCGTTGATAATATATTGCGCAGGAACAAATAGATAGGACTTGTAGAGAGGGACTGCAGGTGCGAAGACACGTATAAATGAAGCTGACTGACCACTTGTAACTCCACCACAGTGTGGCAGCCATTTAAAAAGGGGGACAGCAGGTGATTTATATTCCCGCAATGAGTGCAGTGTACATTTGTGAAAACGTGTGTACTGCCATCGATAGCAAGAAATCAGAGTACCAGCATGTCAAGTCATTATATTGAGACATACACACACACACACACACACACACACACACACACACACACACACAAATCCTGCAATTCTCAATGTGTATGTTCTTTAACTGGGGATTGCTTTAGAAAATTTAATCCACAGCCTACCAACAGTAATTGTTGCTGACATTGTTTCAATCACAATCTAATCCAAATGCATTGGGTGTGCGTGTGT